GAATTTTGTCAAATGCTTTTTCTGCGTCTATTGAGAGAATCATGTGGTTTTTTTTTTTTTTGCTTCTGTTTATGTGGTGAATTACGTTTATAGATTTGCATATGTCGAACCATCCCTGCATCTCTGGGATGAAGCCCACTTGGTCATGATGGATTATTTGCTTAATAAGCACCTGGATTTGGTTAGCTAGAATTTTGTTGAGAATTTTTGCATCTGTATTCATAAGGGATATTGGTCTGTAGTTTTCCTTTCTTGTTGCATCCTTTCCTGGTTTTAATCTCTGATACATTTTGCACAGGAAATTCAACTTATGTCTACTCTCCTTTTAACTTCACCTTGTCTTTTTGTTGGAAGAAATAGATAAGTATTATTGTCTCATTTTTACTCTCAGAGCACCACAGTCTGAATGTTTTGTGTCCCCCTCCAATTCACGTATTGAAAGTAAAGGCCCCACATTAAGAAGTGGGGCCTTTAGGAGGTAATTAGGTTGTGGGGGCAGAGCCCTCATGAATGAGATTAGTGCCCTTATAAACGAGGCCTGAGAGAGACCCCTTGTCCCTTCTACCATGTGAGGACACAGTGAGAAAGTGCCCTCTGTGAACCAGAAAGCAGACCCTCAGCAGACACCAAATCTACGGGCCTTGATCTCGAATTTCCCAGCCTCCAACACCAGGAGAAATACATTTCTGTTGTTTACAAGCTAGCCGGTTTATGGTAATTGGTTACAGCAGCTTGAACAGACTAAGACACAGGGAAATGAAGTTACTTATCCAATTTCATTTGTGTCTAGAAACAAAATTCGAAAGTCTTGATTCTTACAACTAGATTAGTGTCTAGACTAGTATCTAGGAAAACACTGAGCAAAAGAATCCTTACAGAGCGGGCTTATGTAAACTATGGAAGAAACCAGATGTCATCTGGTTCCTAAATAATTCCTGTACTCCCTGTAATAACCAATTAATTAATATTGTAAAGATGAATTATTTCCACCATTAGTTTTCCACCATGGGAGAGAAATGTCCTTTTTAAAGACTCGTTGGATGGAATTGAGAAGCTGTCTTGGCATTCTCTAGGATAACTTTGAAAGTGCCCTAGTAGCTAGTACTGTTCTTGCATCATTGTCCCCTCTAAGCTTGCTCACAGAAGTCACAGTGTGGCTGGGGATTAATTATGAAAATAGAAACTCTTCTCTGAAGAGATAGCCTGGCAATCAATTTACTTAAATGAATCATCAGAGTAAATGACTAACCTGGGGTTATTAAAAAGGAGTTACCCACAGGAATGCCCTTTGCCTCTTAGGAAAATACTATAAATCTTTAGACTTTGAGTCATGAGGCCATATGGCCAGGTGTGGTACCCTTAGAGAGTTAGCCACTGGTAATAAGAAAAATGGATAGCCCAATGTGTTGCTACGGAGTCAAGGGATGAGTCACACTCTTGCCTTTCCTCGTAGTAATCTTTGGTCACTTCAGGGATAGATAAACCTCGTGCCCTTGCTATTTAGTGGGTTTACTAAGACCTGATCATCTGATCAGACATCCTTTTGGCTTACTTCCTCACTTGCACATCCCCATGAGCCCTTTTATGTTAACTTCATGCCCCATAAAGCTAACAAAAGGCTCTTGCTATGATCAGGGTGTGCTTGGGAATTTATAACTTGTACACATGCAGTAAATGGTTCATTACTACTCAATCCAAAGCCCTATAGCTCTTCTAAGATAAGTGTAAAACATAATCTAATAAAATCGTTGAATAACTTCTATGTACAGATCATTCTATGCACAGATCATTGTGCTATTTGAAATAAAGGACAAGCCCCATACTAGCTCTCAAGCAATGGGTTGGCTGATTTCTACCGATGCAGAAATCCCCTGGATAAAAGGAACTTCAGCTAGAGAGAGCCAGGAGAGAGTAGGAGATGAAGATGAGAACAAAAAGGAAAAGTCTTCAAGGGTGAGCAAAAAAGAAAAGAAAGAAAGAAAGAGAGAGAAAGAAAGAAGGAAAGAAATTGGAGGAGAAAGTAAAGCCACTTTTTTAGAGTCACTTTTTCAATAATAAAATGGAATTAGGAAGGAAGGATAGAGAGAGAATAGGAGAATTATGGAAATATAAAAAGTGTGGGTGAACCTGGAACAAGCTAGAAAAGAAGAGAAATTTCCCAGAAACTAGCACTACGGTGGGCCAGATAAGGAAAGAATGTCTCATAAAAGCTGAAGCTCTTATGTATAAACAAAACTACATTGATATGAAGTCTTGTAGACAACAGAATACAGGAACAGCCAGAAAAGAGAAGACAGAGACAGCTTTCAAAGTTCACATTTGGACCCTGGGGAACCCATGGCAAGTTTGGTGATTCTGTCTGTGTCCATGTGGTGTCCACACATCTGGGTGACAAGTGAGAAGCTGAGTCAGGCATCAGGACATTTGGTCTATCTGATGCCAACATCTGGATTCTGAGAAAAGTGGAATGTGCGGCTGGCAGACTTAGGGACTAAAGGAG